TTCTGCGAACAATTGTTAGTGTCGGTGATCCTAAAACAAAAACACTAAGTTTTGAGAAAATCGTCAAGGTAAGTTTGATAATTAACAAATTAATATATTCTGATAACCTGAAAATTAATACTCTTTCAATTAATAATTTATTGGATTTCTTATCGCAACTTGATTTCACCAAGTCAATGCAGGTATTTAGTACACTACCCTGGCCTTAATAACACTTCTTAACAGGGCCTCAGGCAGGTACGTATATACTGGTGTGAGGTTCCACAGGGCAGGAAGTCGCTATCAAAATGATGAAATCAGTCACAGTCATCATATTAAACATTTTTAATTTAAATTCTTAGATTTTTGGATTTGTAGACTCATCCTAATAAAACATGGACTTGGCAACAAAACTTTTAAAACGACACAAGATCCTATCTCAAATTTAATAGATAGCTTACCTGTTATCTTTCTCATCCTAAAAAAAATCTGATTATCGAGTCAAGCGTCACATTCTAGTGAGAAAGAGAACCGCCACCCTAACATAGTGAACCATCGGACAGTATACTTGGTCGTACGACGAACCTGGGTCTTAATGGAATATTTGGTGAGGTCCGGGGTTGGCGTTTGATTTCTGACATCCTAATATCACACCGAATTGTGTATATCACACACACCCACCACAACTTCCCACCACGCTCACCAAAATATAAGTTCACTCAACACCATCACTAATTCACTAACCACACGGTAACCACTTTTTTGAAAAGCATATGAAAAAAATTTTTAATCGTATCAATTCACATATTTTTTTAGAACTTTAGAACTCCTGCTGTATTTTAATTTCGTGTTATTTCGTAAAACAAAGTCTACCACAGACTTCTATTTGTGTCAATGTTGATAATTTGTTGCGGACTCCGCTATAAAAAATGTTAAACAATTTAAACATGTCTGCTATAAATATTTAATCTAATTCCAGTGGACCCTTAACGACGTAGAAACTGAAACGTGTATACTGAAGTCAATAGCACAGCCGTCCTCAGAGAGGCAACATTTCAACCTCACAAAGTTGAGAATTCGACGGCATAAAAAAGTACCGAAAAATTTGCCGAAATTTGATATGTGTAAGCTGTAAAGTGCATATTTCGCTAATTTTCCATCCCAGGAGACAGAGGATGAGGGTGGGGGGGGGTTGGGGTGTGTGGGGGGGTGTGGGGTGCATCGCATAGCCTACACGAATCGCACAGTTATACAACAGACGATATCAAAGTGACAACATCCTCTTAGGCATGACTGGTGTAAATTAAGTGAGTTTACTGTTTTATTCAAAGTTAAGTGAGCACAATTGGAGCATACAAGATCCTTATTGAATTTAGAACTATCTACTTTGCAACGAATTTTAATCCTAATTTAAATTGGTCCAGAGTCGAGGTTCGCATTTCACTGATGGTAACCACTGACAGATGTGCGATGGTCCGTTCAGCCGAGTTTTGTTCTGTGCCCAAATCACACGCGCAATCAAAGCAAAAGAACGACAAGGTCGGTACTACCTTATTCGTGGTCATGGTGCACCGAGGGGTGCCCCAAAACAGTACGGGCCCTAAGTACGCAAAGGGTATCTCCGTTTAATTGCCCCACATTATTATACAGCTGGTATTTATTATACAGCTATATTTATTACAGCAGTTTTGATTGTATTGATGTTTTGTTGAATATTTTGGTGTGTTTACTACGTACTGTGGCACTACTGAGTCCACATCTGTGGTACTGCAACGACAAATTAATGCTGAAATCAGTGCCACATCGGACATATAAACCCAGTTTTAACTGTTTCTTAATTACTACACACTACTTAACAGTTACTAAAATTACTATACAACGCATTCCTCTCCACCGGTTGATGTGTGAGTTTGGTATCAGGCTATAGATGAAAAGAGGGAGAACCACCCTACCTTAATGAGAACCCACTGAGGGTAAGAACTATTAATTTCTGAATACTACTGAATACTACCGAATACTACTGAATTACTCTGAATACCTGGCATACTATAGATTATCTAAAACTAGTACGACAGTGATACCATACTTACATTACATAAATAAGAATTACATCTTATCATCGACGATGATGCCTGGATGATGTAAATTCCATCAGTCAAACTAAACTTGCATTCCAGGCGTTTATATCTGATAGCAACTAACGGAACTCATCCGTAGATTTATAATAAACCCTGAGCACTATCCTCCGTGATTAGAGATTTACCTGGCCAAATGCCTGAAAAGGATGCGAAAAAGCGGAGATGCTAGTAAGTGTACATTTAAAATTTTTCTTATGTTTTTCATGGTTCTGTAATCAGTATCGCAAATCATACGATTTCACTACTGTTTATCATTCTCTTTTCCTCCAGAATGTTTGAGGGGGTTTGTTGGTTATCTAATATTTAACCTCCTTGTAACCTTTTATTTTTAACGATGTATAATAGTCCTATAAAATAGGCGCACATGGCGAAGAAGACGAGTGTTAATGTTTAGTCTAAAGTTTAACTCTAAACGGCACGTGTAACTGATTGATTTTTTCAGGTGAAATGTTGCAGCATCCTTCTTGAGGAAGGCAGCACCCTTAATCCAAGTTTAGTTCCCCTATCCCACGCCCTAAAGACAGCCAACACTAAAAACACTGCTCACGTGAACCATCACATGGTCACGCACAATGGTAGGACTCACGCTACAAGCCGTGACTCACGTATTATAAGCACGCGATTGAAACCTCTGATGACTAGTGGATATTTGACGTGAGAGAACTTGAATTTTGTTAACCTAACCGCCCCTTTTTTTGATAGCGACGTCACACATTTGCGAATTACGAGTGAAATATACCTTGTGGTAGGTAATTTTCAACTCCAGTGCTTCTTTGATCTTTTTATAAACATTCCTCGCGCGCTCTATCAAATTTAAAACGCTAGATTTAGTTTTAATATTGGCTTTTTTTCATTTAACCAATTTAAACCAATTTTTAGGCTTAAAAAAGATATAAAAAACCTGAATTTAATAATTTTTCGCTCAAATTAGATCATTGAAAATGAATAGATATAAGAATATTTATACATTATTATTATGAGATGTAATAACTACTTGAGTAAAGATGTGTCATAATTTTTTGCATGCCATTATTTGACGTTAAATTGTTTGAAGTTTTTAATTTTTTGTCGAGATTGTTGGGCGTCTACAGTTACACGATTCATCATATCAACAGCTATTATCTTCAATCTATCTTTTAATATCTGCATAATATATGTACAATATTGAATTTCCTAAATCCACCATTCAAGGAATGAAGGAAACTTTCTTACATTAGATATGCGTCCTCCATTTAACACGGATCAACTTCTTCTTTTATATACAAATTATGGACCTGAAAAAAGACTAAAATACATCATTAAATTTCGTGGTATTGACGGTTTATATCTTTTTCTATGATTTATTATGACTTAAAAGTTTTATAATCCACCTCATGATTTTTTCACGTCCAAAATTGTATAAAACGAAGAAGTTGATCCGTGTTTAATGAGACGCATATCTTAAAAGTAAGAAGTTTCTTATTCACTTGAACGGGTGATTTAGAACTTCTAAATATTACATATATTAAGCATGATAAAGAAAGATTGTAGATAATGCTGTTGATATGAATGAATATTGTAACTGTAAGACCGCCAACCCATCGAACAAAAATTAAACACTTCAACAATTACGATCAAATTATGCAATGCAAAAATTTATGACACATCTTTACATCAAAGTATAATATACATCTCAAATAGATAATGTATACATCTTATTATATTCTATAACAATTAAAATGCATCATTTGAGCGAAAAATTATTAACTTCAGCTATTTTTAATACATATTTTACAGCCTAAAAACTTGGAGTTTTAAATAGGTAAATGAAAAAGCAATATTAAACCTAAATCTAGCGTTAATTTTGAAAGAGCGCGCGAGGAATGTTTAAAAAGATCAAAAGAAGCACTGGATTTGAAAAATACCTAACCACCAAGCTATACATTCACCTCGAAAAATCGCAAATGATCAAAAAAAGGCGGTTAACACAAATCAACGTAATCGTAAACCCAAGTCCATCCAAAGAGATTCAATCCCGTTGCAATAAAAACGTGACGTCACGGCTAGTAGCGTGACGTCATACCATTGTGCGAGACATTATGGGTCCCGGGAGCAGTGTTTTTAGTGTTTGCTGCGTTCTTAGCGCGTGATAAGGAACTAACCTGTGAATAATGTGCAGCCTTCCACCAAGAAGGATGCTTGCAACATTTTCACTGAAAAAAATCAATCAGTTCACGGCCGATTAGAGTCCTCTACGTGCATATGCTCATACGCTACAAAACATTAAACAAATCGCTTCTTCGCCCCAGGTGCGCCTTATTTTATAGGACTATTCTACATCGAAAAAAAGGTTTTCCAGGAGGTAAATATTATATACACCAAACAAACCCCCATCAACATCCGGAGGAAAAGAATGAAACAGTAAGAGAAAATCGTGCATGATTTGGCGATACTGGAAATTACAGAACCATGAAAATCAGAGCAAACTTTATAAAGAACCCTAACTAGCGACTCCCCGCTTGTGTTTTTCGACATCCATTTCCACACTTGGCCAGGAAATCACTAAACACGGAGAATAGACGCTCAGGGTTATAAATCTCCGAGTTTCCGTTTGGAGACTGTTTATAGCGAATCAGAGACTCAACGCCTGTAAGAGTAGCAAATCAGATTGATACAGGTGGGTTTACAGTGACTGAGAGGAATTAACATCCAGCAACATCGTCGATGATAAGGATGTAATCTTATTATTGTAATTGATAAATGGTAACGAATTTTTAGAAATCTATAGTATGCCAGGTACTTCAGATAATTCAGTATATTCCGATAGTATTATCAGTAGTATTCAATTAATAGATCTTACCCTCATGGTTTCTCATTAAGTAGGTGTTTTCTCCTCTAATCATCTCAATAGCCCATGAAGGTAGGACGGCCCAAACTCCACACATCAACCTGTAAGAGGAAGCGTTCGTATAGTAATTAGTAAACAGTGTTAATTAGTGTAGTAATTAGAACAGATAACTGGTTTATATGTCCGTGTGCACGATGCAGCATTAATTTGTCGTTGCAGTAAACCACATGAATGTGACTCAGTAGTGCCACAGTACGGTAGTAAAACACCACCCAAAATTTCAACAAAACATCAATAAATCAAAACAGCTGTATAAATATAGCTGTATAATAAATACAGCTGAATAAAAAAATGTGGGGCAAACCTAACGAGATACCCCTTTTGCGTACCTTAGACCGTACTGTTTTTCGGGTCACCACCTCCGGTGCCATCCAATAAAGTACCGACCATTGTCTTCTTTTGCTTTGATCTGCGTGATTTGTGCCCAGAAACCAAAATCGCTGAAATTGTGGTTACAAATCAGTGAAATGCTACCCTCCGACTCAGACCAATGAAAATTAGAAATTAAAATTCGTTGCAAAGTAGCATCCAGTTTAAATTCTATAAGGATCTAGAGTATCCTCATCAATTGTGCCCACTTAAACTTAGAAATAAACAGTAAACTCACTTAATTTAACACACCAGTCATGCCTAAGAGATTGTTGTCACTCTTGATATCTCTGTGTATAACTTGCGATATTGGTAGGAATGCCAGAGCTTGTAACAACCTGGGATGAAAATTTAGCGAAATTATTCCTTTACAGCTTTCACATATCAAATTTCGCATATTATCTGTACTTTTCAATATTGCGTGTCGAAATTGCTCAACTGTGTGAGTTGAAATGTTACCTCTCTTGAGACGGCGCTATCTGACCTCAGTCCCAGACACGTTTCAGTTACTACGTCCCTTAAGGGTCCACCTGGAATTAGATTAAAAAGATTAAGCAGACATGTTTAAATTGTTTATCATTTTATAGCGAGTCCCGCCCAAATTCACAAACATTGACACAAATAAGAAAGTCTGAGGGTAGACATAGGTTTTACGTATAAAAACTGAAATTAAAATACAGCAAGTCTAAAAGTTCCTAACACATATGTGAATTGATACGATAAAAATATTTGTTCCAATAAGGCTTTCAAAACAGTGGTTACCGTGGTACTGAAATTGAAGTCTTGAGTGAACTTATAATATGGGACGTGTGGAAGAGTGTTGGAGTGTGTGATAATCACACAATACGTGTGATATTAGGACTGTCAGAAAAACGAACAACACGGACCTCCAAATATTCCATACGACACCAGCGTTCGTCAGTACCGTCCAAAGTACTGTCCAATAGTTCACTATGTTAGTGGCGGTTCTCTTTCATCACTAGATCTCGTTATAATCAGATCTTTTTTAGCTGAGAAAAAAGAACAGGTAAGCTATCGATCACGTATGCAATTTGATCTACGAGTGATCTGGTGTCCGTTTTAAAGTTTTTGTGGGCCACGTCGCAAGTTTCGATTGGTGCAGATGATCAGGATCAGAACAAAATCCAACTCTAAGATTTAAATTAAAATGATTACAAATGACTGACCTGTTGACTGAGATTCATCATTTTGATAGCGACTTCCTGCCCTGTGGATATACCTCCACACCAGTATAATACCATACCTGAGGCCCTGAGAATAGGTGATTAAGGCCAGTGGTTATTAGAGTGTACTAGAATACTGCTTGACTTGGTGAAATCAAGTGTGCAGAATAAGAATCCAATAGAATTAATTTAATTGAAAAGAGTATAATTTCAAGTTTATCAGACATCATATTATTTTTAAATACAAACTTACCCTGACCGATTTCCAAACTTAGTGATTTTGTCTTAGGATCACCGACACTAACAATTGTTCGCAAGCAAGATAAAACTTCTTCAATCGCTGAGCTTTGCCTGGAAGTTAGCAAAATGAATGTTATTGATTAATGGAGTGTTTTATAAATATAAAAACTGAAGAATTTCAGAGTTAGTAAACCAGAAAGTCACAGTTAGTGGAATGGACTTAAGGTATCAGAACTGTGCAACTTGATCATAACTCGGAAATATTTGGGTAAATAGAATAATCTATTTTAAAGTTAACGCCTTTTTCTTCTTTATGGGTAGAGGGCACACTACCCCACCTTGACCCTGAGTCATGTTACCGGGGACCTCGCTTGTTATCAAAGCTGCTGAACGTTGGCTGATGGAAAAGTTGAGATTGTTAGAACTTGGTCGTCTACGGTATACTAAATTATGAATACTGTTGGGAATACCCAAAAGATTGAACATGATATTGCGCGCCAAGTTTTGTTTAATTGGACTAACAGATTTCTTTCTGAATTTCTTAAATTTTTTGGTTAGTGCCCAACAAAATTAAATTTTCATTTCGAGGTCCAGTTAACCTTCCATCTAAGCTTCGGTCTCATCGTTTGAAAAACTTAAGATTTATCATGATGGTAACATCCTTGAGCAGCTGTTAAGTTAAAGTCTGCATCACTTGAACATTTTTATCAAGCGTCCCGAATTAGTGGCACCTGCACGAGTTAACGAGTATATTGCTACTAAATAATCACGACACTCATGACACTGCCTATTAAGAGCTGGGATCCAAATTGATAGTTGAATTGCTAAATATCTTCACACAACTAACTAGGTTTCCCTATCATGAACGGGGCTCATGAATTTTAATAAATTCTGATTACAACTCAGTTCACAATTCCGATTTAGTGACTCTTGCTTACAATATTGCAACATGTGAAGCAAGGTCTGTTAGGAAGGTTAGGAAGTGTAGACATCATTATCGCAACATCGTCCCCCGTATCAACGTCACAACAACCGTGTTACTTTTTTTGTCATTGAAACGATTATAGTAATTCAAAGTAGCAAAAACTTCGAAAACATACAATAAGTTTAGCCACATAGAATGGATCTAATAATTTTTAATATGACAGTGAATGGGCAGTGAAAAAAGTGGCATATGGTTGATAGTGACTAGTGTGCTAACCGTCTGGTTTTATTTATTCCTTAGTTTATTCTCGGTAGTTGATTTGTTGTGTGCCTGATCTTGTCGATTTACGTAGCCCGGGTAAATTATGTAACAGAAAAGGTGGCCATTCTTCATCGTTTCCTGAGCTTTGTAGTTCTATCATTACACGCTTCGCTGATTTCTTATATATGCTTATTGAGAAAATGCTAGATGGGCAAGTTATGCGACTAATGTTGTGCTCGGTAATAGCTAATATAGGACCTTTATACAGAACACTAGCGCGTAGATCTGGTTGAGAGAACGTTGTTAGCCAGTCGATATTGTCGTCATAAGACGTGCCATACTTTGGTATATCGGGAGGAAATAAGTCTTTTATCGACGACGGCAGAAGGCCAGGCATGTAAGTTATCTTGTGCATCAGAGTCAGAGCATTTTTTATGATGACCCCGTGTACAGATAATATTTCGTATTCTTTAAACGTAGTTTTAGTATGATCCGGAAGCTTACCGTCCTTGTAATAGTAATTCACGTAGCCCGGCATAACTGCTCGTATTCCCTGCTTTTGTTTCGTGAACAGTGATTCAATATGGGATTTTGCAGCAAAGCCCCAAACTAGTGAACAGAAATTTAAGTGAGATTGTACAAAACTTTGGAAGATCTGTAAGCGTGCTTTGATTGGTAATTTGCGTTTTATTTTGAACATAATACCTATAAACCGTGACATTTTTGTTTTGACGGCTCGGATGTGGCTGGCCCATTTTAGTTTGTCGTCGACGATAACTCCTAAAAACCTGGCCTCCGTTTTGCGTTCTATAGGAGAGTTGTCGATACTTACTTGTAGGGACGATAGATCTACCCGTCTTTTTGAAAATACCATATAGCAAGTCTTCTTCAGATTAAGAGCTAGGCCGTTCGAGTTAACCCATTTTATCAACACGTCAGTGAGGTGGTTTACTTTGGATATAATGTCTTGTACATTTGATCCGGTGATAATAATGTTTGCGTCGTCTGCGTATAATATAAATTTAGCTAGGTTACTGATTCCTGGTAAGTCATTGATATATATGACAAAGAGCAGGGGGCCTAATATGCTCCCTTGTGGAACACCGTATATCATAGATTCTAATGATGAATTGGAGCCGTTTAGGGAAACAAATTGACTGCGACCACTGAGGTATGACTCGAACCATTTCAACGCAATGCCACGAATACCGTAATGCTCAAGTTTCCTGAGTAATGTCGCGTGATCTAGGACGTCAAATGCCTTGCTATAGTCTAAAAGTAATAAAAGTGCTATTTGGTTCTTATTTAGAGAATGCAGAATAGAGCTCTGAGCATTGAGAAGTGCGTGCTCACATGATCTTCCTGGTCGGAATCCGTACTGATTCTCGAATAGAGAGTTATTCTTGTCGAGAAATTCTAAAACGCGTCTGTGCATTAGTTTTTCATAAATTTTTGAGAACGAGCCCAGAAGCGAAATAGGTCTATAATTCGCTACGTCGAGTTTACAACCTCCTTTGTGTATAGGTGTAACTTTTGCCGTTTTCAAAGCTTTAGGGAAGGCTCCCTCTACAAAAGATGTGTTAACTACTTTTGCTAAGGCGCATAAAAAATTTTGGCATGTGCTGGCTATTTTCAAGGGCTCAATCTTTGAATCGAGAGTTGCCTTATTTTTTAGGCCAATAATAATTCTATGAATCTCGGTGGGCCCAGTAGGTTCGAGGTAGATAGACGTTGGACATGACCCGGTCAGATACTCCTGGAACCCCCCAGGATCGAAGGTCTGTCGGGAACTGATCTGAGACTTGATGTTGGCTGCGATGCTGGAAAAGTAGCCATTGAACTTTTCAGCGACTGCCGAGTTAGTACTCAGGATCGTCCCGTCAGTATCCCTCAATCTGATTTGATCAGATCCCCGTCTTTTTCTGTTTAGCAGGCCGTTGATTATCTCCCATTGTTTTTTGGAACAGTCCTGATATTTTTCAAATTGTTTTTTGTAATACCGCTCCTTGGCAATGTTAACGTGTTTACTGCAAAATAGTTTCATTTTATCGTATGCAGCTATGTTTTCATCAGTAGGCTCTGTGATATTAAGATGGTATAATTGCTGTTTACGTGCACAAGCTGTTTCGAGCCATGGAAGTATCCACGGCTTCGGATCAGACCGTTCATTTTCACGACGATTACGATTACTCTTAACGGGGTATGCAGTGTTGTAATGTTTCATGTAGATTTCTGAGAACTTGTCATACTGTTCACTCGCACTGCCTGATTCCCGCGCTTCCTCCCACGTCTCCCCTTCCAATAGCTCCTTGAACATAGCATTGCTGGCTTCATTCATAGTACGTGTTTCACGGTATTTTGTGGTATCGGTCCTATTTGAGTGTGTGGTGTGCTTTTGTGATACTGCACGTAACTTTATAGTGGTCAACGTTGCAAGATGATCGGAGATGTCGAGTGTTAACACGTTGCTACTTAATGTGTTTTCAATATTATTTGTGTACACATGGTCAATAAGGGTGGCACTGTGGTCAGTGACTCGTGTTGGTTTTGAAACAGTTTGAACAAAACCATATTTTGCCAGTGTGTCAATGAGGTTCTGGCTTGAGGAATCAGTGTCATATTTAATAAGATCAATATTTGCATCGCCATGAAACATAACGTGTTTGCGTGAGTGTCTATCTAGTCTATTAAGTACGTGATCGAGTAAGCTAATGAACTTATTTGTATCTCTTGACGGTGATCTGTATAAATTTACTATAACCTTGGTTTTGTTAAAACCTTTGCAATTATGAATTTTGACTAGTTGGAACTCACCACTCATGTCTTCAGGATCCAGAGCTAAGTCAAGACGTTCAATTTTATCAAAATCGCACACACGTTTGTTTATATAGATTGCTAACCCACCTCCTCTCCCCGATTTTCGTAAAGGTGCTTGTATAACAGGTTCGTGAAAACCCTCGATTGTGATATCATCAATACCATTAGGCAGCTTATCAATGTTACAGTTAGTTTCATTAAAGCATAACACATCACATTTTGAGAAGGTGTGGATTTCTTCTCTAAGATATGTTATGTTTTTTGCTAGTGATCGTATATTTAATGAAAAAACTTTCAACTCGTCTTTGGCGGAGTTTGTGACGTTTTTAGGTTCTTGATATTTGCACTTGGTTAAGATTTCGCTTATTTCATTCCAGTATTCGTTGTTCATGTCACTATTCTGATCTAAACTATTGCCGATGGAATTTATTACGTGCGAGCGATCATATGGATTGAAACTAAGACGTGATGCGTGAAGGTGGTCGAACTTATCATAGAGATCGAATGTCTCTACATTGTAACCTGGAATCATTGATTCGCAACATCTGATGCAACCTAACGTTTCCTGGAAACATTTCCTATGCACATGGCCCTCGCACCATGCACAAGTACGCAAGTTAGACTTAGAGTAACACCAGCCCGGACAGGCCGTGCATTTGATTTTAATTTTTTGACTATTGCTAACTTCACCGTTTGTGTTCATGATGTTTTTAAATTTCGTTGTGAATTGATTAATCAAAATAAATGTTTATGATAAGGTATATAAGAATATATATGAAAGTCAGACCTGCTTCGCGAAAACTAACAGTTTTGTGAGCTAACAGATCCTGACTGATACTAATTTACACTAACTGATTAATAATCTTAACTATCTAAAACTAACTATCTAGCGAGTGTGCTAGTAGAGCAGCTTAACTTTGACTGTACTGTACTAAAACGTGTAACTTTAACTTGACTGTAGCTTAACCTCAACTGTACGAAAACTTGCTTAGTTTGGAACTTGTAAGACCTCGCCTACAATTGCACTCCGCATTACCCGTCCGTTAACAAACAAAAAACAAAACAAAAAACTTTCATTAGGTGTGTTGATGTGTAATCAAAATATTATGTCAAAGATTTGTGATGAATATGAGAGTTGGACGATATATGTGTATGACTGCTAAGTACTAAAATTGTCTTTGATTAAAATTTCGTAGCTGAATAATGGAGATAGTGGTAAAATGAAAATCTTATCTGTAGTATTGCTATTTTAGGGGTGGCAGATAAGAAGTGGGCCCATTTATGCATCTGATTGTTTCTGATTGTTTAGTCGTGAGAGCTTATTTGTGACACAATTAAATTGAATTAAATTAAAACAGCACGTGATTACATGTGCCGTATCGTGGCCAGGAGTTGACTCGTACATATATCACCAACAGAATCTCCTACCAAAACTAAACTAGAAATTCTCCAGCGTGTGATCTATCCTCAGTCAAAATATGACTAGCATAACACTTGATCTACAGATCATAACATTTCATTTCCCGATAACAAAAACTGTCTCAGTCGCAAGAGTTGACCGATCGCAACCTAATCGTTTCTCACACCCAAACAAGGGTAGATATTCATTTAACAGTGACCCAACCCGAGAATGTGGCGGAAAACATGACGGTGACGGTGTAACGGGCGAGATGTAAAGAATTTACAGGAAAATGAACGATGGAATGATCTCATTCTTCATTACGTCATGAAGTCGTCATTTCTGTGGAACACTCCAGATTTTCACTAACCTCGGGATTTTTCTTGGTTTCTTCTTTACTGATGGCAGATGTACTGAGAAGAACTTCCCATTCTTTTGGTAAATTCTGGAAAAGTAAATAGTGAATCTCAGATATTTAAAATTCAAATAATCCTATGAACGGATGGCGAATAACAAGGTTGAAGTCGGGTAAAAATACTAACCGCTGTAAGGTAACACCTCAAATAAATCAGAGTTTAAAGATTGAAACTTTCAGCACATTTATTGTATTCATGACAATGGAAAAAATTCCAAGATGGCAATGTTATTCAAATGGGATTGATATAAATCATCATACTTAATTAACAATAAAAAGGCGTAACTAAATTCTTAGAATATTCTAGTTTCAGACAAAAAGATAATTTATTATACCAAATTTTTAAAATTTTGGTAGAAGAAAGGATGAGACATAAACTTACAACAAATTCTCCAGATTCTTGGTCAAATCCTACGTGCATTTGATGTGAAAAGTCTTGTGGGCTGGAAATCTCTATCTTATTACGACCTGTGGAGAAAACAAGTTATTTACGTAAATATACGTAATTATATACATATACGTTTAAATTATATACATATAATTACGTATATTTACGTAAACTCTGTGTTCAATTTTCATTTCACTTTGTTTTTTATTTGACCGGGGACAAATACAGTTTATAAGTTTTGACCTAACCTTTGACTACATTAATTAATTAAATTGAGGAGATCGTAAGGATTATGATTATAGTTTAAAAAGCATAATTCCCTCACCAGGTTTCTTGAGGAAGTATGTGAAAAACTTGCTCTTCTCCTTGTTATGACCAGGAGGCATGGGAGGAAGGGGCTTATCAGGGGGTTGGGGGGAGACGTCCATCAGGGACACAGTACGGGGAGGGGGTGCACTCGGCTGGTTCTCATTGTAATCAACCTGGTTGTGGTTATAGGACATCCCTACCACCTATAAGTGGGAGAGTGGTTAGTTGGGCTAATTGGATGATTAGTTTCTGTACTCAATTAGTCATTTTTCGTGACATGTAATGCCAGTTATGATAATTTTGAACCTGTGAAGTGTGAGTGGAGATTTGCTGAAAATGTTTGCTAAAATAACAAGTTTGCTAGAATAACAAGTGAAGTAGATACGATTGATTCCAGAATCACGCGTTATAGAAATGACGCGGTGCTATCGCGGAGATATCAAATCGTGTTGCCGAATATATCGAGAGAATAGTAAATTGATCGCTTTTTTAAGTTGTATAACCACATTAACTAAGTGTAAAACATAAATAACTTGTTGTCTGATTTGGAACGTAACCAAAAAATAATAAGCTTAGTATATATTATACTTTTTTTCGCTATAACCTTTTAAATAAATATTTTAGACACATAGTTGATCAATAAGATGAATATAAACATTCACATTTTGCATCTTTTAAGCTATTATTCGATTGTCTAGGTGCTATAGTTCTCATGTTATGGCATTTATGGGTCCATGCGCCGTCTCGGTAGGCCGTAACCATGGAAACGCGAAGAGCAACCCAAAGATTTTGGAGTAGGGCAACATTTTTTGGGAACTCTCAGTTACCCAATACAACTTTCTGGAATCGTTCTTTAATTTTGGACAAACTTTTGTATTTTGGTAAAGTTTAAGAGGTAAAAACAGTGCTTGTCCAGATAGTGCTTGTCCAATATCGCTGTCAGGTGTCAAAATAACTTTTCACCACGCCTCTTTGAGTAGCATAGACAAATAGCTTTGTCTAGGTCAGCCTTGCTGTGCTCTACCATGCAAAGGTTCCCATGAGATTAAATAACTGGCCAGTATTATATCAGGATGTCTAGACATGTCTTACCATTGTTTAAAATATCAAATAATAAGGGGGGGGGGGGTCCAAGGGGAACTTTGGGGAGTTTTGGAGAACTTTTTTTTGGGGAACTTCAGGAAACCTGGGGGACTTTCCCAAAGTTCCCCAAAAAATTATCAATGAAACAAATAATTTTGGGGAATTTTGGGGAACTTTTTTTTGGGGAACTTCAGAAAGTCCCCCAAAATTCCCCAAAGTTCCCCAAAGTTCCCCAAAAAAATTAACATGCCAAAAAAATGATCATGCTGCAAGTATCAACAAGTAAGTTAAGATTATACCTTATAATAACATACATGTTAACATTAATGGGTATTAATGTATATTAGAGAAATTTTGAATAATTTTGAATAATTTTGAATAATTTTGGGGAATTTTGGGGAACTTTGGGGAGTTTTGGGGAACTTTTTTTTGGGGAACTTCAGAAATCTTGGGGGACTTTCCCAAAGTTCCCCAAAGTTCCCCTTGGACCCCCCCCCCCCCCCCCCCTAATAATGACACAAGCAAATAATAATGACACAAACATGAACAAATCTGTATTATATTATAAGCATCTAGTGGAGAACAAATCACGGACTAGGACCAAGTACAAAGAGCAAAAACTTCCGGCCTGCAGATCATTCAAGCTTTTACTTATTCAAATATCTTCAATAAAGATCCTTATCTGCATTTGCTGCGTTATCTTTTGGATATTGAGTTGCTATTGTTTGATTGTGCTGTAAAATATTGTTTTAATAATACATGGACCCTTATGAAAACACGATTAGCTGAACAATATACCTTATTTTACTCATTAGAAATTGTAATACATATATTTCAGTATTTCATATTTGAATGTATAAAATATGATCTTTTGATACTTATACCAAACTTAGCTAAAAATCAAAACGACAATTCAAATAATCAATGTTTAACGAAAAAAAGATCAGAAACAAACCAAAACGGCATTTTAATTTTTTTAATTCTGTGCCGGCACAAGATTTACTAATTTCAACAAATTGTTAGTATGCATATGGAATGTGGATCATCGTATTGTATGGAATCCATTGTTGTTGTATTTATCTGATGAGTTACTTGTCGTCTTTGGCAACTTCATACTCTCTGATTAGTCGAGTTAATGTGTAAGACAAGCTTATACCCACAACCTGAGAATTTAATTAGATTTTAATTTCTGCTAATTGTTGACAATGAAAAAGCCGATAATTGTTAATTATGGTCAGAAATAAAAGTATTCTTGAAATTGAAATTATTTATTAATGATTAAAGTATCTATTTAACAACAGCAGCTCAAACTGTGCTAAGCCATTGACTTATCAAATTTATGAATAGATAAAAGGATATTAAATTGCATTAAAGATGAAAGAAAACTTGATAACCACAGTCGTCCAGATATCCACTAAAATAATTAGTAGGCAAATTATCTATTTGTCGAAATATGAGTACAATACAATAAATCTCTTTATAGTAGTATACCAGTGAAGAAGTGCTATAAAAGTAATGCGCTATAAACATAATTAATAAACATAATTAATAAACATAATTTATAAACGTAAGTCTACTCGAGGACACCCTGTTAAATTAACAGTTTCTAAAATATAGTTACCTGCGCAAACCCGCTGAAGAGCAGTATGGTCATATCCACACTGTAAGTGAAATCAACGTAATTCATCACGTACTCGTAGCAACCCTGTAATAAAACATACGTGTGAGTTGAGACTTGTTTTTATTGACGTTCCTCTTTTCAATGTGGGCATATTAATTAGATCGCTAATATAGAGTCAATCAACACAGATTCTGGAGAATCATACCACATGATTTGAGAAGTTTCAAGTCGTATAAGTCAAATCTAGTGAAGTGGTGTCACAAGACACAAGCGATAGTAGACATGTGTTACAACTCACAGTTTGAGCGAAGTTGGTAGTGGAAATGTCACAAGTTTGTAACATGGTGTGACAGCAGGATCCTGGCAACAAACCCACGTGTTCTTGTCCCCATGTAGTGTTCACCCAGTCTAGGTGGTTATCTACCCCGCAACACTCGTACTAAAGAAGATTAATTAATTAATTAGTTAATTAATTATTCTAGTATTGTGTATAATAATTAGCTTGTAGAATGGAGATGATAAAATTAGACTTATATCAGTGTATACCTATTAAATATATATATAGGAAATCGCGGCATGTACGGAATCGCGATTTTTCCCATTATTTACGACAAAGTTTATGTATAGTTTAATGTATAATCTGTTAAAAATCGCAGTATCGCGAATTTTGGCCAAAATAATCGCGAAATCCTTTTGTCCCTGGAGTATACCTATTTCAGGTACCACCCGTATTTACGCTCACAGTTTAGCTACTTCTAAATTTAATTAGGGGACCGGTCACCACCACACATATATAATATAAAATACATTTTCTCCGTTTGCATTCTGTGGATGTGAAAATTTGGTTTTTCTTAAGAATACTCTGAGATCATAATAATATTTTGTCTGACGTATACTCAGGGCAACATCACCCTTATTTTATTAGCATTTTGTGATGATTTAATAAGTTGCGTACTTATATTACCAGTAGCTACATATTTTATTTATCACAGACAAAATGTCATCTTCGTAAGAATTGTACAATGTACATGTTTGGAATGACGAAAGCGAAACCAAAACTATCAACATTTCTAGGACAGAAACATCAACACTTGGAACATTCCAGAATTAAGGTAGAAACATTCTCGGTACTAGGAACATCAACACGAGTACAGGTAATTTCAGTGTGATAAGAAGTTTGGTTAGATCATCAGAGCAGTACACTAAAAACTCTAATTAGTAATTAGTAGTATAATTAGTAGTTAAACTTATAATTAGTAATTAGTAATCAGAAACGTATAACGATTAGTTCCATCATTGTGATTATTTCTCTCCGACAAATTATCATAATTCACGAGTGTAGTGCATAATATTATGTTGAGTGGCAGTGCTCATAACCATAACACAAATCACAGCAGTCTAGTCGGCAGTCTACGAAGTAGGAAGCTTCATATGTTATGTACAACTGGAGCTCAAACTTTTAACCTGAAACTGAGCCAGAAAGTAGCCATGAAATAAATAACCGCTTCTCGGAACAAACACAGATATTGGTAAAATATCTGCACAGCCCGTTTAATAATAATATCTTACATTGTACTGTATTTTGTCGAACTGCATGTTTCCCTGTGTTTCTTCGTAAGTTCTCATGAGTTCAAATAGAGCAGGGCGAACAGATTGTTTTATCTGAAAACAAGTGGTTAAAGTGAACCTAAAAAATATAAAATTCAGTTCAGTTATTTGCTAACTTTTATATTGTAGGGAAATAATCTTAATAGATACTGGTATCCTCTACAATATACAATATACACGGTGTATCTTAATCAAAACACCAGTACTTGAAAGCTTTGTAACTTAACAGAGATTGATATTGTATTTAAAGGTTAAAGTTTTTGACGATTATGTTTGACGTAAATCTTCCCAAATCAGTAATTTAAAATATTCAGCTTAATTGCTACGTTTTAGAAGCTATGTACATATCGTATAGGTAATACGTATTATATACTAGAAAAGTTGATATACGTATATAATATAAGTTATATACTCACAGGCTCGATACTGTAGAAGATCCAGATAGACAGCGCTATCTCCAACAACAGTATCACCCACATTACACCGATAAACTGAAATAAATCACTTTGTAACAATCTCCTTTACAGTGTTATTGTACACGAAATGTACTGTGTGTGTGAAATGTATAAATTACATTTACTGTGTTCACTGTTCATACTGCAGTTGTGTGTGCACAAGAATGTATACTATGTATATATTGACGAATGTTTAATCCCAAGTGTATTGCAAAATGCTTAGAATGTATGTAAACCATGGCCAAACAGAGTGTATGTATAGTGTATGAACACTCAGTAATCAGTATGTATACATACACTCAGTATGTATAGTATACATACACTCACTCAGTATGTATACACTGACATTATATAATATATTCCTACCACCAATTATTAAAGACAAATATATTGCCGACTGTAAATATAGTCGACTGCTAAGTTTATACAGTCTGTATATATACCAGTGTATACACTGTGTACAATATATCCTGGTGTATAACATACAGTATATTACATACCGTGTATATATCCACAGGTTATGGACGGTATAGTGTATTAACTGTGTATATATTATATATAATATACACGTGTAATACATACAGAAGGTGTGCACGCTGTGTAATCTGATGCTGCTCAAATGCTGCGATATGTAGTGACAGGATCTTATACAAGTGTACAATATGACTGGAACTCACCACGTGACCAGAAACAGTCACGTGACTCGAACACACCGATATTCGGAAACCGTTTTGTAGGAGAGATGATTGGTGAGATTTCCCGCTGACAGTTACTTAATTGTACTAGGATTCTGGAGGAGTTGGGTTCGGTTGTGGATTTTACGGTTAAAGCATTACAACCGTTTTATATAATCGACCGATTTTCCTCAGAATTTAAGACGTCGCATTTAGACATGTTTTATGCACATAGTTTCCTCAGAATTGAGAAAACCCCGCATAATTAAACCTATTTGAAATATCTAATATCCATGACTTAGATATGATAACAAATAAAAGTGAAATTGAATACTCGTCGCTTCGGCCTTTGTCTGTCAATAATCTTTAATATTTACCAAACACGATCGGAATTCAGATATGTGTGGGTATAATACAAACGGTTAATAATGTTCAGTGGTTTTAAAATAATTTGAAGTACTGATGATGTGAGAATACTATATTGTCATGTGAATTGTGAAAGTAGAGTTGTAATTCGGCTCATTGTTTTACTGCATTTCGGGGGATTTATTTAAAGTATGATAGCCTCAAAATTATTGATGAATGTTTTTAGAATTTAAATATGCTTGTTGTGGCTGCTTCCAAGTACAGACCGAATAAAGCACAGATTTGTTTTCCCAAAAAGCTCCGCAACAAGCGATAACACCTGCAAAATCGATTACAACACAAAAACCGTGAATTAGAATTTGATACCAGATTATGTATTGATATTATAATTATGTCTAAATGTAAATTCAGCAATTGTGTAAAATAAACTGAAAACTTGAGCAAATTTACCAGCTGCAAAAATTAGCGTCCCAATAGTTGCCATCCCTATGGCAACAAAGAGTGCGTAGTACTCTTCAACCACAGCCAGGTATCTCATACTGTAGACTGTCCAGATTGCTAGTGTCCAGATCGTTACTGCTACAAACTGAACCGGAGGGAATTATAACACATCTTATATTTAGGATTATGATGTTGTAATAAAATCTAAATTTCTTACCTACGTACACCAACAAAATTAAGAATATGTAAAGCACCCAAATTAAAAAGTCCGAGGTAATATTATATTCAATTAGTAATTTAACATAATTGATTTTAAACATATTCATAAGTGACAGAAGATGAAATCAATGACGGCATATATTGCACTCTGCCTGTGATGTGCATGTAATTTCACTCATGCTGAAAAATATGTCAGATACTTACAAAATATAGAGAATTGAAGAAATACATGGACCATCTTAAATATTTTGGGTTGGTTGGTTGTTTATTCATCTTCTCACAACGACACAGTTCGCTCACTTATAGTCTGTTTTCTTTCCACTGGATCTGCATGCACCTATTTAGTATTGTAAGTGAGATTTTAAAAGCCAAGTAAAATAATGAGATACATGGAGATTAGCAAAATAGAAATATTGATTTTTGAAAAAAGCCTGAATAGTAAGTACAATCAATCCAACACAGCACAGTATGAACATGAAGGGTGGGTCTGTTTCATTTTGGTAAAATTTCGACAATAAAATCATGACACTTACGTAATATAATTATACTGAGTGTATCATTATGTGGACAGTTGATAAAGCTCTTGGAATGCGAAATAACAACCAGATACAAATCTAAGATAAAATGAGCCTTACAAATAAGTTATTATGTCTGAAAGAGAATCTTATGGATGCTTTTGGACAAAACAAACAGTCTATGCTAAGGTGTGCATTAAGATACAACTTTAGTGTGCACAGAAACAAATTATGGAAATAGATATAATCATGCCTTACAAGGGACTCTCAGAGAATGAGGGACAATCAGTTTGCTTGATGGTTTTAGATGGTGTCTCATCCAAAGCAAACTTTACAAGAACAATATGTCTCTAAACAAAGGGTTGAGGTAAGTCCACCAATACATTCATCCTAAGACAATATTTAATACAAATTTTATAATTTAATGGACTTTAATGGACTTTTAAAGCTGCACAGTTTATGGTCTAGCCTTTGAGCTAAACATGGAAAACTTATGCTTCCCTGACGAGTTAAGAGCAAAAACTGTTTTTGTCATGTGACATGCCAGTTAAGTTTAATGAAGATTCGGCTGTTTGGGGTTACATGTGGGGTTAAAGTTACGGCTAGCATTAAGGTACATCCAATTGACTTTAACCCTAGTTGTAAAAACCGAAATCAACGTGTATGATCCTACCCAGAGTGGTCCGATTCTAATCACCACCAAACTTATTGTTTCATTGAGTTCAACCCAATCGGTTTTAAAGTCAACGGAACTGTACTTTTTACATACAGTAAATAAGAGGATAAAAATGGCTGTGCATGTTTACTTAAATCGTTCAATGAAGGGCTCCAGATAATATCATGCTCCGATCACAAAAGATTTTCAGGTTTTGCTGTAAACTATAGGTACTGGGTCTCATGTAGCTGAGACACCTCACAGCAAGTAGAACAAAGTTGCTCTTGCTTGTGGAAGGTGTATCAACTACCCGCCGAAGCAGCGGGTTGGGAGTCCCACCTGGGATCATTACGTTCGTAAAACTTTACACAATATAAAAGCTACAATAAATTATCCATAAAATTTACATAAACAAACTTAGGAGACCTCATAGCTCGTAGCTTCTGAGGGATGATATTGAAGGATACGTAGATGAGCTTGAAAAGGTATAGTCCCCGAGTAGTCGCCGCGCCTTGAAGATTTGATCTCAAACAAGTGTTAGTGCGTACTTCGGGATGTGGATGTTTCTTAGAGAGGCTCTGGTTCAAGCCTATTCAAAATGATTAAGTCAATTAAAGGGGACACAAGCTCTACCTAATTGTTTAATGCTCAGAATATGACTTCAAAGAGCCAAAGGTCAAAAATTCAAGCATACTGCAATCATGGGGCATTTTAGTGAAACAAATTTCTCTGCAGACGACTCCAAAATCATACATTGGAGTCTGGAAACATTAGTAGCCGAGCCTTTTACCTCATGCTATTATGGGTTGAATATAAAGTCAGGGTCGATTGGGATAGCGCTCGATTCACATGATTTCGATAACAAAGCAGCGCGCCTCATTGTAGGTTTACTCACTACTGACGCCTGTGCGATGTGCTGAGTTGGGCGGCCGTTACCTGAGGACCCCAGGCTTTAATGTTGGTAAACAACATTGAAGAGATTAGAATAGAGATTAGGCGGAATGACAGGCTGAGCGCGGCCCAGTAAGGCGGCCGCAGATTAAAATGTTCGAGTATCATTCGATAATTTATATTTTGAAGTACCGTGCGTTTTGCAGGAATAACAATGATAAATATAATATATAATATTACATTGTATTGTTTTTTGACCATTGTTAATGGTCTGGCCCGGCGCGCGCTACTTCGTAGCACTTGCCATGATCGGGTGCGCTACTTCGAAGAAATTTAGACGAGTAACTGGTAACATCCGTCAATATTATTTTCCGTCGCAACAGCAATTACTTATATCATTAGCAATTAGTGCAAAGCTTAATTTGATACATTCGTACAGATTAAAAAATATTTATTTTGATAACATTGATTATATGATTTCTTAAGTCTGAAAACATCATTACCTAACTACTAAAATAAAAATTTTTTGTTTCAGTATGCTGACTTGTAGCGCGATGCACTACTGGGTCGCGCCTCGCATCAAATAATTCTTCTCGCAACCACAGCTGCACTCGTATGCAGATCGGCGAGATGCGAAGGATTGACATCGTGAATCAATATGCTGACATGATATAATGATAATAATCTTAACAAATTATTTAAGTTGGAATACTGAAGACGTCGCCGCGCGTATTATTATATATGATTACTTTGAAGTGATATGACGGGATCGTATCTATTATGTATTATATCAAAACTATAACAATAATATACATATTGATAAAAAACAAAGTTGGCGTAGCTCAGTTAATTTAATTTAATCAATTAATTAAACATAATTCAACGGGTGATACTCGTAAAATATTTGTTCCATATATTATTTTATTGGACCGTTTTAATACTTTCAACACTACTATATAACAAATAATTTGAGCAAAGGTTTAGTTCCAGTGATTGTATATACAGTGTTGGGGTAAAAGGACTCCAGAAGGCAGACAAGGCTCGACTCCAGACTCTAGTTGAAGTAACAGAAGAGAGAGGAGTGTCCAGTGTTTAGTTGACTCCAGACTCTAGCGTAGCAGAAGGGAGAGGACTGACGTTGTCGACTCCAGACTCTAGCGTAGCAGAAGGGAGCTAGGAGTGACGTTGTTTTAGTGATCCCACAGATTCCAGTCGACAGATACTATCTGTGTTCTGTGACGTGGAAAGAGTGGGTTTTTTTATTATAGTTATCAGTTCCAGTTTAGTTGAAGTCCTCATCATTCAGAAGTCCCTCATATAGTAAGAAGAACATCATCATCAGAGTAGTAGTTTTGTTATTCAATTAACCCAAGAACAGGGTTCCAACAGCGTCCAACTCGGCGCGCGTCCGGGTCCTGGTAGGTTTTTGTATCACGTGGTGACCCCCACGCGACGGTCGTTTCACTATCGTGCGCGGCGGGTCATACAACGTATGACAAGTAGGTTCAAGGTTGTAAACCTATATAATATATATATAATAAAACATAATTGATGCTATGATAAAATTATTACCGGCCAAAACTGGAAAATTTTATGACAAAAAGTGCGCGCGGCGATCAAGTTACAAATGCAGAATTCAATGCAGCAATTATATACAGTATACATCAATTAAATTGATAAATTAATTGGTAGAACAAACACTTTTTTATGATAAAATATCAAAACTATAAAGCATATTGTAACAAGTAAAGATTAATATTGAATATAAGGAGAGATATTCGCAATTCGACAAATGACTCGAATCGCGCGCCACGATCAATAACCGTGGTGTTCTACTCTTTCAGTATTTCGCGTTGGATAAAAGTATCTCTACACCTCGAGTGTCCGAATATGCTGAACAGGTCCTTCCTTGTACTCGTTATCTGGATGGGTGAATCACAGCACCTTCACTCTGCTGATGATTTTATTGATTTTGATGCACGAGGCTGTATGTGATTTTCAGAACTGTTTGTCCATGTTTATTCCTATTCTTTTGCTGCACCCTTTTTGCCTCGCCAAGCTGGGATTAGTGTCCACACCATAACTTATACCGTTTAATCTGCATTTGCCGACTCGTTTTTGCGACAACTTATTTTCTCGCTATACTCAATTTTGTTTATTTAAAATCCAATTTCTTTACAGTTTTTAATGGATGATATGACCATCAAGAAAGGAACAACATCGAAACTTCTTGGTGCTGATTTGTCAAAGAGCTTCCCCGGAGCACTGTATTCGCCCAGTAAACAAGCCCAAGGAAAACCAGAACCCATACCCCACCCACCAAACAAACCCCTGAGCCTTCTCTCAAAAACAGACGATGATTTGCAACCGCTGAGCTGGTTGGTTTCTCCTAACTTGTTGCACAATGTTTGCGGTAGGCCGGTCCAGTCGAAACCTCCGCCACCGAAAAAGATTATCCACAGAACAGCCAATCCAAGTGGCAAATTCTCATCCATGCAGAGCCACTTCAAGCTGAGACCGCAGCCTTATCATCCACCCAAAAAGAATTTCTCCGTTCCAGCAATGAAAGTACGGGCTATCAAAGTGAACGGACGACTGATAAAACAGGAGCCCGGCGAGTTTAACCGACTCTACGCTCCCAGATCTCACCCATATAAGTTGGTCAACCGAACTAGGCCCACTGCAACAACCAGATCTTTTAGATCTAAATATGCCAAACCACCTTACTCCTTCGCTACTCTTATCTTCATGGCGATTGAGGAGTCATCTGCAAAGAAGCTTCCCGTAAAGGACATCTATAATTGGATCATTGACAGATTCCCGTATTATCAGCTGTGCGATCGAGGCTGGAAGAACTCTGTTCGACACAATTTGTCCCTGAATCGATGTTTCAAGAGGATCGACAAAGACCGAAGATTGGTGAGTTTTCTGTCCGTCTTTTTTTTCTCACATATGTTGTGTTGGCTCGAAACCAATACTGTATGAGTCAGTTCGGTTGTTTTGAAATTGTATCGTGTGATCATCACGAGACCGGCGAATTCTTTGTGTTAAAAGTTTTGCTTACGAAGAATAACGTTTATAATTTCATTCTCATAATATAACTCATTGTAATCACCATCATTATGATAACACCGTTATTATGATTATATCACAACTAGACGCTATCAAAACATAACGGACATGAATCATGATGATATGGATTATTCTGTGTTCACTTTATTCGCCTGAACAGTAGGGATGGAAAAGTACCAACTGACCCGAACCATAATATTCGAAACTCCGTTATCCAACCATATTATTAAATCATTGAAAATAGTTCTACTGAAATTAAAGCTCATTTAATCAGCGTGAGGGTAACAAAGCCCTACTTTACTCAATCGTCATGGCAGCATCAAAAAGAGATTACTGAATTTAGGTAAATTAAGTTTTTAAACTTCCATTTTCCACCTTTATTAATCACATTAAATTTAATTCGGTGTTAGGATTGCCATGTCTACCAAATCTAAATACCGTCTTATGCTTTTACTTACTCCTTTACCTACGTCAATACGTCTGAGATACTCTGAAACCAGTTCATTTCCACACCAAAACACTTACCACTAGGTAAATCAGTACCTGTCACGTGACCAATGTCTTACCATTACCTGTCAAGTTAGTAGTATATTATTACCTGTCATTCGAACCCCTGATTGTGTGTCTCCATGACGTCACCATGACGTCACTTGTACGAAATTGAAAATGGTGCTTCAACTTGCTATCGCTTTTTAGGGTTTATATCCAGTAGATAACGTCCAATGTCGTACTATCAAGTATTATATTAAAGTATAAATTGTCTATCTTTGTATAAACTCAGTGTTAAAGTTTGACGAACGAGATGAGGGTCGGTTTGACCTTATTACTGATCGAATCAGACATAGCATTTGTATGTTTGCTTTACTCCTACCTCATTAGCTTACACTCACATACAAATATTGACAGAGACACTATCCAATCAAATCCCGCAGACATCATCACGTGATAATTTTAACCAATCAGATTGCTGGGATGATACCACGGGACACGTTTAGTCCTGTCACGCCGTCGCATTACGTGAGACGATAAGATTGTAATGTTGATATCCAACACCGCGATATTATTCCAATGCTTGCACAGTTCTGGGCAGTCAAATACTGCAATCTAATTATAGGTTTACTAATGTTCATCTCATTTACACACGCAAGGCTAATACAGTAATAGTTGAACAACAAAACACAATTCAAGTGGCTCCTGATATTCTACGATCACGATTTCTTAAACTCAAATGTGTCCGAATAAGCTGTTAAATTTGAAAACTTTAAACATGATGTCGGTATAATGACATGAAAATGTCATGTAATTTAGAGGTACTATACCTCACCCGGAGTGGCGTTGTCATAGAATTCTATTAAATCAAAACGGTAATTAAATCCTTGATCTAATTGGGTCGCGTTTGGATTAACGTTGGCATTAGTCAATGATGGGCCTAAATTGATTATTGTAATCAATGTAAAGGGAAATAAAATTTGCGCCTCTTTTGATCTGTAATTTTAGGCGTACTTACAGCAATTCAGCAATTAACATTGCCACTGTGAACATATTGCTTAGTACATTATCTGATGAATATAATTATAATTGGTAATGACATGCTCAGTCTTTAAAATATCATGTTTTGGCTAATAAAAATGATCTAACATCAAATTATTTGGATTTAGAAAATAACGTTTTTAGTTTTAAATATTACACACAGTATAACAGTATCATAATAATATAATAATATAATATAACTAAAGATACTGACATCAAAATGACGTCAGAGAATCACTCTTTCTACATTAAAAACCATTTATTCCTTATTCTACAATAATTAAATTTCCAAACTTCATCGTGGATGGATTAACAGCATGTCCCGACGACCACGCAAAATGCATTTCATTTCAGGTAGTGACCATCATTAATAGCTCAGTGCATACCCTTATAAAGTCTAATGGCATGTGTGGGCAGTATGACCAACCAGAGTCCCTGGCAATGATCACGTGACATGTTTGTGTATGTAAACTGGAGTGCTATCAGGGGGGTTGTTTAGATTGTGTAGTTTGGATGATGTAATATTTAAGTGGGTAGAAGCAAGGCGTTTCTAGTCATACTGCCAGAAAGCTGCAGGTTGATTCAGCACTCATTCCCAACTATTATAGTTATAGAGTATATGACGTGTATGGATTACAGCTTCGTGGGTTACCAGCAGTTGAGTAGTCAGGATACCTCGGCAAGGAGGCGATACCTCGGCTCAGAGGCACAATTAAAGTTTCCTCACAATTACAGTTTCCTCACAATTACAGTTTCCTCAGAATAACTTTCCTCAAAATAACTTTCCTCAGAGATTTACTGCACATTTATTCCCCCGGAATATCATAAAATCATCCCGAAAATAACATAAAATTATCCCAAATATTATGGCTCAAACACTCCAAATGTGTTCACTACAGTCTCCTGTACTATAAGTCGCGTCTACCAACGTTCTGTTAACCAGGTCAGACCTCTGACTGGGGAGAAGGAGTTAAGCCTCACATATTATATACATTATCTGACTTTATCAAAGTAATTATTACGTAAATTGAACACTAAATCACAAATTCTGTTGCGCGTTGCCATGGCAACCCAGTACAATTATTGTCCAGTATAATAAGCTCACATGTGTGCTAGAGATGCCTCTTAAGATACAGTTTAATGTAAAGACTGTGAGTTTGAGCTTTTGTCTTGTACAAGGATTAAGTCCACAATGTGATATTATATAAAATTATATTATTATAGCTGTTCCTGTTTTGTTATAAGAAGAGATGCTGTAGATGTAGCCGTTACCGTGGTAACGGTTCATCTATTGTCCACATTATATGTAAATATGATATGAGATAGGTGGATCTTAATTGTAATCTGGTGGCCCAACAGGTATATGTCCGGGATATTTTGTTGTTTCGGAGGGGATATAATATTTCAAAACCTGAGCTGGATTTTTATTTTTAATTTCTGCGGGCAGGGCCTATGAAATTAAATATTCAATACTATCATGTTTAAATATAAATAGACATAACAATATTTTATATACCGCAATTAAAGTTTTACTCGCAATGGGCTTGTTTCCAGGGACTGTACGATTCATTTTTCCAGCCAATGATAAGAAAATTTGGGCACTTAAAAATGCACGAATAATCTTCGAAATGTTTCGAGCAATAATTGTTAAACAAGATTTGAACAAGGCATGAACAGGAACGTATACTTTGTCCTCCAAATCCTCCCCTAATCATTATCTTATCACCTTCAAAAATATCATAAAATGAACCATGGTCATTAAGAAGCGGTGAAGTTTACCAGCGTTCGAGCATAAATCTGCTCTGGAAGCGAAGATTAAAATCCAATCAGAGTTCAATCTAGGCAAAACGAGAGTTTAAATATGTTTGGAGCGAAATTTTTCCTTCTCTTCTGAGATGTTGTGGCAAACTCATGATTTGGAAAAGAAATTACATCATTGCATCATTGTGTACTGTATCTTCACAGCTATTAGCGGTTACGTAAGTCTGCAAACTGTTGCTAGGTGGGGTTTCTGCTAAATATGAGTACCATTTGTATTATATCTTCAAATTTGGTTGTCTTTATGTAGCTTAATTGATATTGATATCTAGATAAAGAATTATGATATCTAGATAAAGAATTATGGGATTTGAAGCCTAAATATATATCCAAAATTGGCATTATCTCACTCAATTATATTCCTTTTCTTCGCTTACGTTAAACAATTACCGAGAATATCCATTTCTGAAAGTTGATCGTCAGCAACCTTTGTTTGTACCTCAAAACAAAGCGCTAAGACCATGATTAGGAAAAATGATAGATAAATGACCACTCCGAAGACACAAGTTTGATCGTGACACACAAAACCATCCCCGTCTTCTTGGACGTTCCGTTTAATGGACACATATCCAGATTCCATGGCAACTAACACCTCTCAAGTCTAAATTAATCGTAAGCAGATTGTGACAGACTGATATTTTAACAAAAATATTGCTACCAAGGCTATCATAATCGTTTTGACCATGGTTTCTGTATATTCATGCAATTTTCCGAATTTCAGATAAAATATTTTGAGCAATTCGGATTTACTCCCCAAACGTTGCACCTAGCAACCCTAAAATAAATATAAACCTTCCGTTGGCCCGTTAGCAGACTCTCGCTGGAAACCCTGCCTGTTGATTGGTTGAGCTTGAGTAGACTCCAGAAACCCTGCCTGTTGATTGGTTGAGCTCCAGACGTGAGCCCTTCACCCCTGGAATACCCCAGGGCAAACCCGTGAAAAAGCATTACACAAAATAAAGATCATTGACATCACACCTGGCCAAAAAATCAAACAATTCATCTTGAGGCCAATTCTTACCAATTCTCGACCTCCTGCAACAATGAAGTTCACAGAAATTAGTGCACGACACTTCTCAAATATAATCCCCTGTCGCGGTCCGGATCCAATTGACCAGAGCAATTCACCGATCAATTGATAGACTAATTATCCAATTAACTGGCTCACAATGCGTACCGGGAAACTACCGAGGTTGAGGTATTGAGGTTGAGGTTGTTTAGGCCGAGTAGGGACTCAAAGTGCTGTGACAAGTACTAGTTCACCAGATAAGAATTTAGAGGCAAAGGACGTTGCTGGGTCACTCCTACGTAAATCTCAGCAGGGGTTCAGACAATAATGGATGTTGGTTGCGGTGTCTTTATGATGGTTTTTTGATGAATTTAAGTGGTGGTTTTGAAAAGAAAATTAGGTGGAATAAAGTTGAAGTGATGATGATGACATTGGGATGACATTGCTCCTTGTAAGTTGATTTCGCACGACTCGCGGCAGTTGATAGGTG